TAATATAGTGTGATTATTATTTTTTTTACTTGAGTATTCTTGTATATATTGTGGTGTAATTCAAACAATATAAGTTCGTTTTTTCTGTTACTTTCTGTTACTGTATTATCAGTAACTGAACCCTGTATATAAGCTTTACTTTTAAACTTTGCAATATATCATATCCCATTAATTCATTCATATCTCTGCTGCTGTTTTGCTCTCTTTCTGTAACCCGCTTCTCTGTTTCAATAGTATAATTGCAAGATTTATAATATTTTTTATTTTCATAATAAAAGAAGTTTCTCTCATAAACATTCATTTATTCATTTATGCACGAGTAACTTTTTTAGGTGATCATAAATAGCAGTGTTACATACTCTTGCGACTAACATATTTACTGTTTTTTTTAATTTGGTGGTACCATTTTAATGTGAGAAGAATAAATCTTTATTTAATAATGATAAAATATATATTTAATGCTATGTAACCATTTAAGACATTAGATATTTCATTTGGATAAACCAAAGATTTGATCAAAACCAAAAGAAATAATAATAATTTAACCTTAAGTTCTTAATTACATCCATTTAGAGAAACAAGTTTATAATATTAGTGTGAAAGAGTGTGTTCATGCCGATAAACAAGTTTATAATTTATAAATAATAATAATACAATTATCATCCTATAATCAATATATGTTAACAAATTTAATTTTTGTCTTTAGCTCGATGTCTTTCATTCTTTTCAAAGTTTATTTTTATTTATGAAAATTTTAATTTATTTTTTTCTTTTTGGTCTCTCTTTTCTATCTGTAAGTACAATATTATGTCTGGTTACAACTCATTCTTCAGCTACTATGTTAAGAATATTTTGAGAGTTGAGATATTCTTTTGAAGTTTTAATTGAAAATCTACTAATAGAGTTTCTGTGATTTTTCTCTCCACAAAATTCTTATATCGATTACTTTAGTTCCACTTTATAGACAGTGATCTTTAACTTTTTCACATTGTCTGATAGCTAAAATGTGCTGTATCTAAATCATTAACGTCGTGTTCGCATGAACAGATTTTACTATTCATGCGGGTTTACGAGCAATAAATCCAAACCACAGTGTTGTTCATTTTTGCGGATTTGTAACGATGGAATTAAAGAAATTTGCGGGATATCTCCTTTTTGTATCACTCGCTGTGCCGAGAAGATTTGCGATGAATTGAAGGCAAATGACTTTTTTACCCTTAACACATATGATAATACCAGCTGAGAACATGCAACCAATTCGATTCCGTAACTGGATAATCGATTCCAGGAATGGATAATAAATATTAATGCAAAAGCTATTTGCGTATAGCAGGAAGAGGCGTTGAAGATGGAGAAGCAAAGCATGAAGGGTTGTGTATTCGGTTATGGGGTGTGCGTATTCGGATACGTTGCAGAGTGAGAGGAAAGTTGGGTGTTGTATTCGATTTCGCTTGCTTGTATTTGGTTCCAAGCGTTGGTTCAGCGGGTGTATTCGGTTCCAGCACACTTCGGAGCAGGGTGGGTGGTGGCTTCTGATGGTGGAATGATTTCAACTCTGCCATTCTGTACTTCACTATGGAAGAGCTGCTCCGGGGTTTTATCAGAGGAGAGTGCATCTAAGTGGTGCAGGTTAAGGGAGAGAGCATCATCCAGATCGGGGTTTGCAAGGGCTTCGGCTTCGGGCCGTGAGAGGGTGGGTGGGTGGGGGAGAGAGTGGAGAGTAAGGTTTGGGTTTGGAGTTGGAATGGAAGGGTTGCGGCGGCTGAGAGAGAGAGGCCGAAGGCGAGAGACAGGAAGAGAAGGTCATTTGTGGTTTTCTTTTTACTTTTTAAAAATTTATTTTAATAATTATTTTAATATATAATTACAGTACATATATAATTTTTTTACTTTTTATTTTAATAATTGCAGTACATATATAATTTTTTTACTTTTTAAAAATTTATTTTAATAATTATTCTAAATTTTTTACTCTTTATAAACATTTTTCAATTAAATATAACATTAACAAATATCATTTTATATTACTTTAATAACTAAGGACATTTTGCTAATTTTAATTTCTACCAATTAAACAAATTTTTTAAATAAATCACATCAATCAAATTCTACACTAATCCTTAGAGACTTTACTTTCAAATTCACTTCCAAATCCACTCAACCAAACAACAAAAATTTTACCTTCAAATTCATTCCATCACTCTTCCCAAATCATTTCCCACAAATCATCTAATGTGAACAAAGCATAATAATTGTATCGAAAGACCACTCCTGATAACTAGTAAAATGACATTTAGCCAAACGTGATCTTTTAGCATTGATCATAAAATAATTTATCTCATTAGATATGATTATATACTCAAAATTACAACTTTTTTTTTTATTAGGGGTTTTGTATTGAAAATGAATATTATTTTAATAAAACAGGTTGCTTTCATAAGAATTTAATTAGCGTACAAAAATTTAAGAGGAAAAGTGCAGCAAGTATAGGTAAAATGCAATACGCAAGTTTGTAATAAAAAAATAGTTATAATTGATTACGGTGTCTCTTTTTTTTTATCTTTTTCTTTTTTGTTTTTTATTTTTATAATAACTATCACTTATAAAATAATATTTCACTTCTTTCCAGTCATTTACTTTTCTTTTCTTCAACTTCGTTTACTTATTTTCTGGAATTTGAATTTTATTTTAGGTGTTGTCTTTAAATATACTGATTTTAATATCTTAAAATATATAAAAAACTATAATATATTAATATTAATGTATTTCTTAAAGTTTAACATTGAGAACTCAAAAAGAAAATCCAATAAAAAAATCTGGACTCCATTTCGTCTTATCCAAAGTATGGAAAAATCTTACTGAATTTTGCTATCATATAACTTGTGGGAACGTAAATGTGTTCCAGATTCCGGACGCTTTTAATACTTCAAGAAACAAAAATAATAATAATAATAATAATAATAATAATAATAATAATAATAATAATAATAATAATAATAGTAGTAGTAGTAGTAGTAGTAGTTTTTTATAACTTATTATCTTATTAAAGTAGACTTCAAATTCTACCATTTTATTAGTGTGAACTAAACTTTTTTACACGATTTTTATTCATATTAATTGAATTTTATTAATCCAAAAATTCGCCAACATTGCTTAATTGATTTTTTTCCCAAATAGTGACTGGATTTGGATAATATTGTTTTTTTAGAAAACGTGGTTCGTGAGTTGTTTAAATATTACTTTAGGTTAAAAAAAAGTATCTGTGTGATTTTTGAGACATTTGCAGAGGAAGGACTGGTCCACGTTTGATACTGAAAAGTCTGACATTTGAAAGTGACTACTGCATGCTAAACGTACAAAATAAAAAAAAAGTGAAAAATTGAAAAACAGAGCATCATTCTTTGAAAATAAATTAAAATTTATTTTTCTCAATTTTCTTTTCTTAAATTCATGAAATATATCTAGTCTAACATTGTAAATTTAGTACGTAGCAGTTAAGGATTAATTTTTGGTAAGTCAGCGAATTCCAAGAAAGTTTTCTACGTTCTTTTTGTTTTTCAAAAAAGAGAGTTAATTTCAAAAATAAAAAATAAAATATAAAAATTGAAAATAGACAAAAATCATTTAAAATAATTAGAATTTAAATTTCAATTGTTTTAAGAGAAGAAATAAAATAAATAATAATTTCAAGAAGCTAAATTCATGCAAGTTTTCTAGGTTGTTTTGTTTGAGAACGAATTTCAAAAATAAAAAAATATTAAAATTGAAATTAGATAAAAATAATGTATTCAAATTTTAATTGTTTCAAGAGAAGCAATAAAATCAATAATAATTTAAGGGAGAGTAATTTTGATTTATGATTAATTTGAAATTAATCTTGTTATTATTAGTTTTTTTAAAAATTAAAAAACTATAACATAAAGCATAATTTCAATATTAAATTTTGAGTTAAAAAATAAATATAATTAATTAAATAAAATAAATATTATTATATATTGTAAAAAATGTGAAATAAATGTTTATTAATTTGAAAAATGTTATTCTCACCTTTGAGATCAAATGATGACGATATTTTTAATGTTGAAAAAATGAATTTTTTTAAAATATGTTTAACACTGAGAAGCTAAAACTATTTGAAATGATGATTACATCTTATCATAAAGTAGATATAATTCCTTTACTCATAATTATTTTCATTTGTGGAAAAAAAAATAGTAACCAGAATAAAGTTAAAATCATCAGTCAATTCTCCAATACGACTTTTTCAAAGTGCAATATATAGTCATTGTAGAAGTTAAAGCAACTTACACATAACAGTGACTAGATCGAGTGTAGAATATCTGTACGACTAAACATTATGTTATGATTTTTCGATTGCAGAATTCCGGGAAAAAAATATATTAAAAATAGGTTACGTGTTGAAAATATAAAAAGTTTATTTATTTATAAATTATTATATGTAGTGAATTTATTAACTTTTATAAAATTTCATATGGAAGATCATATGAATCAAAGTTTTTTTTTATCCATTCAATATTAATTTTACCAAGGACAAAAAACCACCATACTCAATTATTTATCACTGGAACAAATTTCTAGGTGAGAATGATATGTCTGAATTTTTGTACAAGTGGGAAAAAGACATCAAACTCGTCTAAGCCTCATTTTCTTAAAAAAAATTGAACATTGCATGAGAAAAAAAAGGAAATTTTTTAAAATGAATAAAAAATTAGTTAAATTAATAAAGAGAATAAAAAATGATATCTACATATGGTAGAAAACAAAAATATAACACTTCTATTTATTCAACTATCATCACGATCATTCTGTTTTTCCTTTAAAAAGCAGCATAAACACTATCATAGGATTATAATTAATACACAAACATGTTTTTAACATAAGTTGTTCTTAATTCCCATTTATCATGTTTCTGACAAGAAAACGTTGTCCACAGATATTTTATCCTCTATGGAGCTAGCAAAATAGAAGTTACTCTATATAAGGAAGAAAACAGGAGGAAGCAGCAAAAATTACAGTAGTGAGGAAAATGAAGGTGTTTGTTTTATTTGTTGCCATAGCTGTAGCAGCATGGCAATGCCAAGGTGATGACCATGGCGTCAACTTCCAAGTTTTCCCACTCCGAATGAAATCCGGGCTCGGTGGCCACTACATTCCGGAGATCTCATGCCAAAGTTGGATGCTTGGTGTGGAAGCACATAACATCATCGGATTCTCGAGTGTTCCTAAAGACTGCGTAGGATACATAGGGAACTACCTCGTAGGTGACCAGTATAGATCAGACTCCAAAACCGTGTGTCGGGAAGCTTATTTCTACGTCAAAACCTTAAACATCAGTAGCAAAGACGCGTGGGTGTTTGATATAGACGAGACCACGCTCTGTAATCTCCCATATTATGCCGATCATGGATTTGGGTATGTTCTTTTTCTTTTTCACATGGTATTCTGATTATTATTTAATAATTTATGACTTTGAAACATGATAGAGCGGAACCATATAACTCTACGGCGTTTAATGAGTGGGTGTTTCGTGGGGTGGCGCCGCCGCTGCCTGAGAGTCTGAAACTGTACAGAAAACTGGTGTCTCTTGGCATAAAGATTGTGTTCATAACAGGCAGACCACTGTCTCAACTCGACGTAACAGCTTCAAACTTGAAGAAAGCTGGATATTACAAATGGGATAAGCTAATTACCAAGTGAGTTTTCACCTTCACATTATACTGTATATTCACAACATAACATTATTTTTTTTTCCTTTTAATGTTATAAATTTATGTAAAAAGTAAAATTCAAACAAAAGTGGATTTTGTTGCAGGGATCCGTCTTACAATGGTAAGACAGCAGTTACATACAAATCAAACGAGAGGAGGAAGATAGAGGAACAGGGATACAACATCATCGGAAACATCGGAGACCAGTGGAGTGATATTTTGGGAACCAATGTTGGGGGTAGGACCTTTAAACTTCCTGATCCCATGTACTATATTAGTTGAGACTGTAACTGGCTTGCTTCTACGAAGAAGATAAGATATGTAAGAATAATGGAGCCACATGGTTAACCTAGGGCACATGTATATGTGACTTTATCTGAGACACAAATCATCTAAGAGATTCCACATGCGCCATATTATTTTCTCTTCCCTTTGAATTTTTTTTTAACCATTTTTTTACAACAAAACATATCATTTTATTGGTCGGTTTGAATTTAATTTATATAAATATTTGTAACAGATTATCAAAAAATTATAAAAAAAACTTTTTCCTAATTATATATGTCCTTTTTTAACTTTACAAATTCATCCGTTATTAATCGGATAATGATAAGTTAATATATTTTTTTTACAATATTTTAAGATAGTAAATTTATAATTTTTTTATTAAGTTTAAAATATGATAATATAATAAATCAGTAAAAAAAATACACGCATGTTGTATTAAAATTTTATTAATTATGTCAATATATTTTTTTTATTTATTATTAAGAGTTGTTTCTTTTCTTTTTTTTATTGTGATGAATATTTATGATGATTCGGCTCAGAAGATGTACGGTTTGTTTGGAAAGAAAGAAAATTTAACAAAGGAACATGTTACGTGTAAGACGACAATAAAAAAACGCATGTAATTATACGTATTTAAAAAGTTACTGTTTATATGTATATCAAAAGTTATGATTAGTTTTTATGTATTTCAAAAGTTATAATTAGTTTTTATGTATTTCAAAAGTTATTTCTTATATGTATAAATTAACTTTAATTCTTGTGAAAAATATTCCAAATAAATCTCTTATCTTAATTATTTTTAATCTATATAGATGAATATTTGTAAACTCCTGCTCTTTTGAAAGGTAAAATTTATCTTATATAATAAATTAACTTTTGCTTTAAATCATGAAAAAAAAATGTTACGTAGATATTAAACTAGATTAATGTTTTAGCTATAGAAAAAAACCAAAATGAATCGTGTTCAGAGCTGATAGCACGTGGTATTGGCTTTTTTCCAGAGAGTTCGATGAGTGAGAAATTTTTCAGATAAGAGAAAATGTAAATATAAAGAAATAAATTTTTAGTAAGAAAAAACAAAGATTAAGAACGATAAAATAAGGAAGAATTGATTTGATTGATACATGAATTTGAAAATTTGAAGTCGTTTTCATTAGATAATGAAACAAGATAATTGATTTGGAACAAGATCCGCGGATAAATAGATAGAGACAACAAAGATGTTTTTTTTCGAAAGGAACAAAATGTAAATGACAGCACAAGAAGACACCACAAATCACACCCAATCAGCTTTCGCCAATCCCTCACATAAAAAGTAAAGAGAAAAAGAAAAAGACAAAAGAGAAATGAATTTGAGATAAATTAAACTTTTATATTTATTTAATATTTTTTTATTTTTTTTTCTTACAATTAAAATATGTTTTTTTATAATTATTTATTCTTATGTTCAAATGAACAATGAAAAATGTACAAATGAATAATGAAACCATTATTAAAAAAACAAAATGCACTGTTCATGACACTGTTAGACATTCATGCCTCAAAATCACCTCTTCCTAAATCCTGTGTATGGGGTAAATGTTGACCCCAAAATCGAGGGTTATTTCCTACACCACTCCACATTATTTTTTGCATCACAACATTTTTATAAAATTTCAAAACGATTATTTATATTTTAAAATATTCTACACTTTCATCTTTTTATTTAAACGGATGTCATTTTTCAACGGATGTGCCACATTCGTTGAGGTTTTTTTTAGTTTTTAGTTTTTTAATTTATTGTATTTTAAATTAATATATAAATATTATTTAATTTTTTAAAATTATTACTTAATTACTTTTACCTTAATTTTCTTTTTACTTTTACCATACAACACTTCTTACTTTATCACTCTTAATTATCTCTTATCTGATCCTAAAACCGAGTGTAACACTATGTGTTTGTATAAATCTATTAACAACGGATTCGCTGAAGTTTTTTTTTAGTTTTTAGTTTTTTAATTTATTCTATTTTAACTTCACTCTCTACCCTTCCTTATAATTTTTCCCCTTCTTACTTACACTCTTTATCCCCTCATTTTCCATTTTTCTTTAATACCCTACTTCTATTCCATTTCATTTTCTGTCTTCTTCTTACCACCTCCTTCTTAACACTCTTTTTTTTATAAATTCTATACAAAAAACGGATGTGCCACATCCGTAATTTTTTAATTTATTGTATTTTTAAAGGTAATCTGGTCACAATATTATTTATTTTTTAAAATTATTACTACTTATTTATAAATTAATTTTTATTTTATTTAATAAACTTATTCATTACTTTAACTTTATGTCATTCTTTCTTTTACATACTCCTTCCCATTTTCTTACAACTTTATTAAAACGGATGTCGTCACCGTGAAGTTTTTTTTTTTTTTTTAGTTTTTACATTTTTTAATTTATTTCTATTTTCAACTTCCTCTATACCTATTCTTTCCTTTTTTTCCCCTTCTTACTTAATTATTTTTAAATTAATATTAATTTATTTAATAAAATAATTATTATTAATTTAATTTATGTATTATTATTTAAATAATAATTAAAATAGGTTGAAATTTTCTTTTTCTTTAAATAAAAACAATAAAAAAAATATAAAATATGTAAACGGATGTCAACATCCGTTCATGGATGTCAACATATCCTTGAAGGCGAAATGGATATTGACATCCGTTTTATAAACAAGGACAAATAGATATGATGGTGCAGGGAGTATTTGGTGGTGGTGGGAGGGAGCAAAACTCCCCAAAAATAGGCTATAACGAACCTAGCTGCTGGGCCGTACGGACAGAGGAAATGGGGAGCTCTTGACTTTATGACCTCCATTATTTACCAATATCATATGTGCACGTCAAGGAGTTGCTCCCCCACCCCCACACATCTCTTCCTCCACCTCCCGCTTTACTTTTTGCCCCTTCCTCCTCATCTTTCCTTTACTAATTTTGCCCCTCAGTAAAATTTTATTTTTAAAATTATTGTTTTTTAATTTTATTCATTTATAACATATTCACTGATAACCTAACTAGTTCCTTGTATAGAGTAAAATATTTTCTGCAAAGGTTGGTGGATCGTGAAAGAATTATCAAGCAATCTTCTCTTGTTCTCGGTACAGTAGGTGGTGCAGTGCGTTTATGGTGTAGTGTCCCCCCCATTGTCGTGGTTCCTCTCCAGTCGTATCATTAATCCGTCCTATAAATCCTAAAACCCTAACAAAAACCCTATCTCAATACACTTCCAATAATCCTTTTAATATCCAAGCCTATAATCATGAGCCATAAAATAAAAACGAAACGAAAAAGCAACGCTGCCTCTGGAGGATGACATCCTTCAACGGATGTCAACATCCGTTTAAGGCGAAACGGATGTCGACATCCGTTTAAGGCGAAACGGATGTCGACATCCGTTTGAGGGAGGATTTCATGTTCTGTCAGGACTCTCCAGAACTACTGCATGTGATATATTATATGTGTACCTCCAAACAGTATATATCTGGTACAACCAATAATCACAATATCTTCAATTCGTTCCAGATTCGAACTCACTCACACAATCCGACTCCTAGTCCTCAAGAAATTATTTTGCATTATCTAAAGAAAAGGTTACAGTGTGTTCATAAGCCAAGTTGCTGAACTTGAAATTTGAAAGAAAAAGAGAATGGTTCCATTGTCATGGTGCTAGTTGAACAATCCAAGATGAATGATTCCGGACATTCTAAAGAGAAAACGGATATAGGTTTTATAGAGAAGGAGAAATGTTTAGAACATGATTCTTGCGTGGGTAGCACGTGATAAGTGAGAAACTGATCATTCTAAGGGTTGGTGGGTGTGACACAGCAAAAAGCCACAGCAGTGGGTCTTGAAGTGCGATTTTTTCTGTACTTGAAACCCAAACCAACTACTGCATGTGTACTGGGTGAAGGGTAAAATGCTAAAAACGGAAAAAAAGTCGCATTGTTATATTCTTTAAAGACTATAGCATTCATGGCCATCTGTTTTAATGAGGTTACTTGTAGCCTTTATTCTAAACTGGAGTTCTATTATACAGACTTCTGCTGCATTGTATAATGCTGTATATTTTTTACTCCATTTTAACTTTTGAGGATATAATTGTCATTTTAGAAGGATATAATTGACATTTTAGAAAATTGGAGAGGTGAAGGAAGAGATGTGTGGGGGTGGAGGGAGCAACTCCCTCATGTCAAAAAGACTCATCAATGACAAACTCGTAGAGGATCTGTGTGTAGGGCACATCGCTACAGACAAGGCCTACTGAAGGCCCATACTATATATATACTTTTCGGGAAATTTTCAATTTTGAAAAGAATTTGAAGAAGTACTCGGTAACATATTTTTCGCGAAATTTACTCTGATAGTTCACAAAATAAGTAAGTTAAGACATATTATCTCTATAAGTAAAAAATAACTCCATAGATATTAATATGTCAATTAACTACAGTAAATTTTATTATTTTTTTATTTTCCATTAAAAAAACATTATGATGGTGTAACAAATTGTCGAATATCAGTGAAAGATAAGATATTTTGAAGAAAAAATCACTGAACAAACTAAAAGTAATTGAAATGAATATCTGTATTTAATAAATGTAATTATTTTGTGTAAGCGATAACCTATCTATTAGTATTCAGAGGAATTAATATATATAAAGTTGCAGAAGTGCTTTATATATAGTGTGTTAACCTTGTTTAAAAAGTTTGATTGATAAACTTTAAATATAAGCTTTATTATATCAGATTGTGTTTGATAAAATTACATGTAGAAAAGTAACTTAACATTATTCAATAAGACAAACACTAAATAATATTACGTTAACTTAGTTTAAGAGGAGTGACCTTGTTTTTTTTTTCAAATAAAATCTTATATTCAAATGTAACATCCCAATATTATAGTATAATACTATATTAAAGAGTCATCACATATATGATATGATAGAATATTTATTCAACAAAAGTATAAAGTATAAAATTATCGTCATCCCAAAATAACCATAAAATTTAAACTCTATG